TAAATCAAACAAATATACTAAGCTTTCTTGACACGTGAACAGAAATATCGAACTAAATTTGATTTGTTCAACCATGTATGCGGTATTATTAAAATTACATAGGAGTCTAGCTGTATTAACCACATCATATATTTAACACTTATAGTATAAAAATATGTATCATTTTCATAAAGTACACAAGAGAATACCGGAGCATAAACAATATCGTATTTTGAACTAAAAGAACTACGGCAAAATATGAAAATAACATTAGACACTCCCTTTTGGCAAGCTTTAAACGTCATTATACAGAAAATATAATATTCTTTTCACTGGTTTCACTGTATTTATCTTCCGAGACAGCCAAACTAAACAAATGAGGTGATGTTCTTTTTGTATAGCTAGGGTTGCATATTGTTAACGAAGAAATATATTCCTGGGGTTAAAACATTTGTCATCATTGCGATTCAGCGTTATATCCTACAAGCGTAAAATACTAGTAGCAAAATCATCCCAAATAACTCAAAATGAAAATATTTAGTTCTGTTGTCTCCAATAGATGTTGTATGTCCAATTCTCACACAGTCTAATACCTCAATAATGATTTATTCGAACTTGTTAAAAAATACAAGTTTTCGTAGATTTCGATAGAACATTAGAAGAAAAAATATATCAAGTAGAAATATAGACAGGGAATCACAAACAGAGAGCAGTAAGAAACAGTTTGGGGGATTTCGATGAGTCTGGGCCAGGAGACAGAAGCCAGCTTTAATAGGGATTCGCAGTATCAATAAAAACACAATATACTGCATTATATAAACCGGCTACCAATATGGGAACCCCCTGCAGAATTTGTTTGGGCCCTGTACTTGTGGAAACGACAGCGACCCAAATAATTCTGCTGTACCTAATTTAATGCTTGAGGTCTTCTTCCAAACAGCGTTTACGTTTCCTAGTCCAATAACTTATGTAAGGAGCATTACTTATAATCACCAGACTTTACCATGTAGGTCACTAGTACAGGTGTGTCGTCGATAAATTCCACGAGTTGATTTATTTAATTACAAAGGTGTTTTTTTCTAATTTGTGATTTTAGACCAATCTTAATGAATCATAAACCCGATTCCATAAGATAATCAAAACTGTGGAGTTTCATTCATTATTTGCAAATACCGATGTCACGAAGGCATAAACAATAAAAACATAGTTGTGGTATGAATAGTTAAGTGTATGCAACGACTGCTAAGTAACCAGTTGAGTGACAGCTAATGTTTATATACTCGCGCCTGTATAGTAGTATTGTCTTCTAAAAGCAGTCCTAAAGGATATACACTACTTTGCAGGTATCATTTGTAGTTTAGGGACCAAAAATCTCGCGCGGTGGATCATTCATAACCTAATCGACACATGAGAAATTATACAGGTAAACATAGCCATTTGTACATGTAAGTGGAGCGTAGTTTTCCTCATCCAGTTGCAATTACGTATATTTTGTAACTCGTCAAGGTGTGAATGGTCCTTTAACATTTAACTGAGTTGTAGATGAATAGAAGTATACACGTCATATTGTCATATTCATATTCACTGCATATTCGTGGTGCGAATAATAGAAATGTACATCCGAACGTACTGTAACATTAAATTGTCGATGGGCTGTAAAACAATACAATACAAATAAACTTGTATTTACAATTCTGTTTATATTTTTGAAATAACTTGATTGTATCGTTCTTATGATTAGAGATTAAATGTTGAAAAATGGAATAACAACACCCAGTGTGACAGACATTTTTACTGACGTCATTCATGATCCACTGCGTGGAAGTTTGGTTATCAAGTCAGTACTAAACGATATGTGTGACCAGCAAGGTAGTGTATATCCTTAAACATGGATGTAAGAAGACCATATGGCTGTGTCGCCTTGAGTAAAGAAACGTTAGCTGTCACTCAACTTGTAACTTAGCAGTCATTGCACTGAACTATTTCTTTCACAAATATGTTTTTTTTTATCTATGCCTTAGTGACATCGAGACTGGCAAGTCATGCAAGAAAATCCACAGGTTTGATGACTGTAAAAATTTGATTATCGATTCACAGTAATTTTGATGATGTTGATGAGGTGTTTGCTAAACGATATAAAGGAAATTAAACTTGTTATGTGTTTGTTTGTTTTACAAATATATTTTCCGGTTCAATTTTATCTTCATATAGCATCACAGGAATACCCATCAAGACGGGAAGTATTTAGTTTAATCCTGTACAAACATTGCATATTTTCTTTTTGTCTTTACTTACTTTGAATGCTACATGTTAACAAGAATAATAACACACTGGGTGATTATCATGTGTGTGTATTGTTAGATATGCAATTATACCTGCAAATTTACATGCAATCTAAATGAAATTTCAAAATAAATCACAGTCATGGAAATGAATATGCATCTATGTTTGATTTGAAACAAATAATATACGTATGCACGTTCCGCAACGTTTAAAGACCGGCTGGTTTTTAGCAAGCAAAGGCTGTCAACCAAGCCGTAGGATGTGACGAAATTGTAAATATTCTGTTGTCTACTTATAAAACCATTTGCCTATTTACACAACGCTATAGGTAATAGAAGACTATGTGAAATGCTCTGAAAGTCTTAACTCTTCAGAAAATAACACATGCTGCATATAAATGTATAGTAACACATGATAATATGCCATGAGCAAATGACTGTTTGTAAACACCACCTCGGCTGATATTCAAATAGAAGTAACGCTCTCAAATAACTTTTGACAAGGCCTTGATTATGGCGAACAACCACACACCGTTTGAGAATAAGACCGTCAAACGAGCGAGGAAGCGCTTCCTCCCATGAATCCTAATCACCCAGTCTGAGTAGAATTCTTCACGCCGATGTAAGTAACTTATGTCAGTTTCCAAGAACAGAAACACTCTGTATATAATGAAAGATCCTTTAACTAACATCAACATCTATAAACCTGGATTTTTATCAATAGTAGCACATCCTATCATCTCAATTCCTGCTACACTAGTGATGATGATATTAACCCATTATAGATCTATGATCTCTAAAACCTTAAGCCTTTGTACATAGATTTGACCCAATAAGAAAGTTAGAAAAGGATCACAAAACAACGTACACTTTAAGATGTTCTTTTCTGTAAACATTCTCGTTTTCTTACACATGCATTTTTGTTACCCAACATTACATTAAAAAACATTCTGTTGTCATAACAACCAGAGGATACAGAATACAAATTCCGATCGATCCTCCCTCACAGACACCTGGATTATAGGATTTTGCTTTGAGATAAAAGGGATTCTAGGATATGACTAACAAACACATATAATCTTGGACGGTGGAAAAACCACTTGCAGCCTCAAGTGAATTATACAGATATCCGATTTGACTAATTTTGTATTAACTCATAAGCCTGCATTACAAACTCCTTAGTAGCTTTTCTTGGCAAAGGTTTTTGGCATTTCTCACGTTGTTTAGAAATTAAGTCAATGTAGAAAAGTGGATAGATGTTTTTAATGTTTAACACATGAATTACAGATATACTTCGGTAATAAATTTGATAGACAAAATATGTCAAGTGTTCCGATGAAGTTAACATTAAGCATATAGCATTAAATATACACAAATACAGTCTTCCATGCATTACTTTTCAAATGGTCCTATTTTATGGAGCATTAAGGTCACATTGTATATTTTCAGAAATATATTCATTTGTTTAAGGCAGAAATAATATTTTCACACTTAATAAATATATTTCCGACTTTGACATACATAGCAAATGTATAACGAATTTCCATGAGAATGATGATAAGCTTTGAGAAGTCTTCATTTATGGGGTCCATGACGAGATTAAATAAAAGCTCGAGACAAGTGCAACATCACAAAAGTTCTACTTACATTGCTTTAGTGGGCTATACCTTCGTCATTCGGTAGGACACAAGTGTGACTCAAATAGAGCAGGAAACGTCAGGGCGATGTATCTGCTGTTTGCAATAAGGTCTCTCTCTGTTTCTCCAGCGTTGTCGCCGTAGTATCCTCCATACCAAACCATATATATATTCTACTATCAGCTCGAACATTTTGAAGATGAAAATAATTAAATTTGTCTATATGGTAATCTATGTTGTCTATGTGGTACCCTGTGTTGTCCATGTGGTACTCTGTGTCGTCTATTTGGCACTCGGTGTTGTTTCTGTGGTAATCTGCGTTGTCTATGTGGTACTCGGAGTTGTTTCTGTGGTACTCTGCGTTGTTTCTGTGGTAATCTGCATTCTCTATGTGGTACTCTGCGTTGTCTATGTGGTACTCGGTGTTGTTTCTGTGGTACTCTTCGTTGTTCATGTGGTACTCTGTGTCGTCTATTTGGCACTCGGTGTTGTTTCTGTGGTAATCTGTGTTGTCTATGAGGTACTCGGTGTTGTTTCTGTGGTACTCTGCGTTGTTCATCTGGTACTCTGTGTCGTCTATTTGGCACTCGGTGTTGTTTCTGTGGGAATCTGCGTTGTCTATGTGGTACTCGGTGTTGTTTCTGTGGTACTCTGCGTTGTCTATGTGGTAATCGGTGTTGTTTCTGTGGTAATCTGCGTTGTCTATGTGGAACACTGTGTTGTCTCTGTGGTACTCTGCGTTATTTTTGTGGTACTCTTCGTTGTCCCTGTGGTACTCGGTGTTGTTTCTGTGGTATTCTGCGTTGTCTATGTGGTAAATTGCGTTTTCTATGTGGTAATCTGCATTTTTTCTGTGGTACTCCTGTGGGAATCTGCGTTAATCTGCGTTGTCTATGTGGTACTCTGCGTTGTTTCTGTGGTACTCTGCGTTTTCTATGTGGTAATCTGTGTTGTCTATGTGGTAATCTGCATTGTCTATGTGGTACTCTGCGTTGTTTCTGTGGTACTCTGCGTTTTCTATGTGGTAATCTGTGTTGTCTATGTGGTAATCTGCGTTGTCTATGTGGTACTCTGCGTTGTATATGTGGTAATCTGTGTTGTCTATGTGGTAATCTGCGTTGTCTATGTGGTAATCTGCGTTGTCTATGTGGTAATCTGCGTTGTCTATGTGGTAATCTGCGTTGTCTATGTGGTAATCTGCGTTGTCTATGTGGTAATCTGCGTTGTCTATGTGGTAATCTGCGTTGTCTATGTGGTAATCTGCGTTGTCTATGTGGTAATCTGCGTTGTCTATGTGGTAATCTGCGTTGTCTATGTGGTAATCTGCGTTGTCTATGTGGTAATCTGCGTTGTCTATGTGGTAATCTGCGTTGTCTATGTGGTACTCTGCGTTGTCTATGTGGTAATCTGCGTTGTCTATGTGGTAATCTGCGTTGTCTATGTGGTAATCTGCATTGTCTATGTGGTAATCTGCGTTGTCTATGTGGTACTCTGCGTTGTATATGTGGTAATCTGCATTGTCTATGTGGTAATCTGCGTTGTCTATGTGGTAATCTGCATTGTCTATGTGGTAATCTGCATTGTCTATGTGGATATCTGCGTTGTTTCAGTGGTACTCTGCGTTGTCTATGTGGTACTCGGTGTTGTTTCTGTGGTAATCTGCGTTGTCTATGTGGTAATCTGTCTTGTCTATGTGGTACTCTGCATTGTCTATGTGGTAATCTGCGTTGTCTATGTGGTACTCAGCATTGTCTATGTGGTAATCTGCGTTGTCTATGTGGTAAACTGCGTTTTCTATGTGGTAATCTGCATTGTCTATGTGGATATCTGCGTTGTTTCTGTGGTACTCTGCGTTGTCTATGTGGTAATCTGTGTTGTCTATGTGGTAATCTGTGTTGTCTATGTGGTAATCTGTGTTGTCTATGTGGTAAACTGCGTTTTCTATGTGGTAATCTGCATTGTCTATGTGGATATCTGCGTTGTTTCTGTGGTACTCTGCGTTGTCTATGTGGTAATCTGTGTTGTCTATGTGGTAATCTGTGTTGTCTATGTGGTAATCTGTGTTGTCTATGTGGTAAACTGCGTTTTCTATGTGGTAATCTGCATTGTCTATGTGGATATCTGCGTTGTTTCTGTGGTACTCTGCGTTGTCTATGTGGTAATCTGTGTTGTCTATGTGGTAATCTGCATTGTCTATGTGGTACTCTGCGTTGTATATGTGGTACTCGGTGTTGTTTCTGTGGTACTCTGCGTTGTCTATGTGGTAATCTGTGTTGTCTATGTGGTAATCTGCGTTGTCTATGTGGTACTCGGCGTTTGCTATGTGGTACTCTGCGTTGTATATGTGGTAATCTGCATTGTCTATGTGGTACTCTGTGTTGCCTATGTGGTAATCTGCATTGTCTATGTGGATATCTGCGTTGTTTCAGTGGTACTCTGCGTTGTCTATGTGGTACTCTGCGTTTTCTATGTGGTTCTCTGCGTTGTATATGTGGTACTCTGTGTTGTCTATGTGGTAATCTGCGTTTTCTATGGGTTACTCTGCGTTGTATATGTGAAACTCTGCGTTGTCTATGTGGTACTCTGTGTTTTTTATGTGGTAATCTGTGTTGTCTATGTGGTACTCGGTGTTGTTTCTGTGGTAATCTGCGTTGTCTATGTGGTATTCTGTCTTGTCTATGTGGTACTCTGCATTGTCTATGTGGTAATCTGCGTTGTCTATGTGGATATCTGCGTTGTTTCTGTGGTACTCTGCTTTGTCTATGTGGTAATCTGTGTTGTCTATGTGGTACTCGGTGTTGTTTCTGTGGTCCTCTGCGTTGTCTATGTGGTAATCTGTGTTGTCCATGTGGTAATCTGCATTGTCTATGTGGTAATCTGCGTTTTCTATGTGGTACTCTGCGTTGTCTATGTGGTAATCTGCGTTTTCTATGTGGTACTCTGCGTTGTATATGTGGTACTCTGTGTTGTCTATGTGGTAATCTGGATTGTCTATGTGGTACTCTGCGTTGTCTATGTGGTAATCTGCGTTGTCTATGTGGTACTCTGCGTTGTCTCTGTGGTACTCTGCATTGTCTATGTGGTACTCTGCATGGTCTATGTGGTAATCTGCGTTTTCTATGGGTTATTCTGCGTTGTATATGTGAAAATCTGCGTTGTCGGTAATCTGCATTGTCTATGTGGATATCTGCGTTGTTTCTGTGGTACTCTGCGTTTTCTATGTGGTAATCTGTGTTGTCTATGTGATAATCTGCATTGTCTATGTGGTAATCTGCGTTGTCTGTGTGGTAATCTGCGTTGTCTATGTGGTACTCTGTGTTTTTTATGTGGTAATCTGTGTTGTCTATGTGGTAAACTGCGTTTTATATGTGGTAATCTGCATTGTCTATGTGGTACTCTGCGTTGTTTCTGTGGTACTCTGCGTTTTCTATGTGGTAATCTGTGTTGTCTATGTGATAATCTGCATTGTCTATGTGGTAATCTGCGTTGTCTGTGTGGTAATCTGCGTTGTCTATGTGGTACACTGCGTTGCATATGTGGTAATCTGCATTGTCTATGTGGTACTCTGTGTTGCCTATGTGGTAATCTGCATTGTCTATGTGGTACTCTGCGTTGCCTATGTGGTAATCTGCGTTTTCTATGGGTTACTCAGCGTTGTATATGTGAAAATCTGCGTTGTCTACTGCGTTTTCTATGTGGTAATCTGCATTGTCTATGTGGTAATCTGCGTTGTTTGTGTGGTACTCTGCATTGTCTATGTGGTACTCTGCATGGTCTATGTGGTAATCTGCGTTGTTTCTGTGGTAATCTGCGTTTTCTATGTGGAAATCTGCGTTGTCTATGTGGTAATCTGCGTTGGCTATGAGGTACTCTGCGTTGTCTATGGGGTAATCTGCGTTGTCTATGTGGTAATCTGTCTTGTCTATGTGGTCCTCTGCATTGTCTATGTGGTAATCTGCGTTGTCTGTGTGGTAATCTGCGTTGTCTATGTGGTACACTGCGTTGCATATGTGGTAATCTGCATTGTCTATGTGGTAATCTGCGTTGTCTGTGTGGTAATCTGCGTTGTCTATGTGGTACACTGCGTTGCATATGTGGTAATCTGCATTGTCTATGTGGTAATCTGCGTTGTCTGTGTGGTAATCTGCGTTGTCTATGTGGTACACTGCGTTGCATATGTGGTAATCTGCATTGTCTATGTGGTACTCTGTGTTGCCTATGTGGTAATCTGCATTGTCTATGTGGTAATCTGCGTTGTTTCTGTGGTAATCTGCGTTTTCTATGTGGAAATCTGCGTTGTTTCTGTGGTAATCTGCGTTTTCTATGTGGAAATCTGCGTTGTTTCTGTGGTAATCTGCGTTTTCTATGTGGTATTCTGCGTTGTCTATGTGGTAATCTGCGTTTTCTATTCTATGTGGTAATCTGCGTTTTCTATGTGGTACTCTGTGTTGTATATGTGGTAATCTGCGTTTTCTATGTGGTACTCTGTGTTGTATATGTGGTAATCTGCGTTTTCTATGTGGTACTCTGTGTTGTCTATGTGGTAATCTGCATGGTCTATGTGGTACTCTGTGTTGTCTATGTGGTAATCTGGATTGTCTATGTGGTACTCTGCGTTGTTTATGTGGTACTCTGCGTTGTCTATGTGGTACTCTGTGTTGTCTTTGTGGTAATCTGCATAGTCTATGTGGTACTCTGCGTTGTATATGTGGTACTCTGGGTTGTCTATGTGGTAATCTGGATTGTCTATGTGGTACTCTGCGTTGTCTACGTGGTAATCTGCGTTTTCTATGGGTTACTCAGCGTTGTATATGTGAAAATCTGCGTTGTCTATGTGGTACTCTGCGTTGTATATGTGGTACTCTGCGTTGTCTATGTGGTGATCTGCGTTTTCTATGGGTTACTCTGCGTTGTAGATGTGAAAATCTGCGTTGGCTATGTGGTAATCTGCGGTGTCTATGTGGTACTCTGCGTTGTCTATGTGGTACTCTGTGTTTTTTATGTGGTAATCTGTGTTGTCTATGTTGTACTCTGCATTGTCTATGTGGTAATCTGCGTTGTTTCTGTGGTAATCTGCGTTTTCTATGTGGAAATCTGCGTTGTTTCTGTGGTAATCTGCGTTGTTTCTGTGGTACTCTGCGTTGACCCTGTGGTACTTTATTGTTGATGGTCATTGTCAAATTTGAATTCAGTTTAATACTCAATATCCCGGACTTACGATCACAATATTTATACCACGAACAAACTTTATTATGATATTGCTGTTTTATGTTATTACGTAATTTCATTGTTGAGACTTTCGAAATTTTACAGCAAAGATACAACAAGATAATTTCTGACGTAACAGATCACATTGTTTTCCTAATATTTCACTTTACTGCAGACAAGAGTGAATATATGATTTTCTATCTCAAACACAGTATTTTAATATTTATGCTCGTTCTGATTGACATGTGAGTCTGTCTTCTATTCCGTTGTTTTGATAAAGTGTTAAATGGTAACCATGGATATTTTCTGGATATTGTGGTCCTTAAGAGTGAAATATAGTACATTCAAAAAGACATTTTGTTTAAAAACAAAGATAATTAAAGTAAGCCTAATTGTCATGTTCGGAACAATAATTTGTTTTAATTCTTTGACGATTCTTTGGACATAATGTCACGCGTGTAGCAAATAATAATTTCGTTCAATGTCTTTTTTTCTGGAATTTCGCATGATATTGAAAATACCAGTCTTGAAACTCTCCGTCTAACATGTACACTGTTGAACTTTAATACTGTTAGTTTTTATTGATGTTTTCCAACAAAATGTGTTGTGTTGTCTATTGTTACTATGCAAAACCGAAAAACCTTCTATGGAAGTTCGTCCTAGTTGAATTAAATAACACAGTTGCTTTCACAATGTGATAAGAGAACCCCGAACAGTTTTCTAATGGGAAACATCTATGTTGTATAGTATTTGTGCTTTCATAGTTACATTGAATTTTTAACGGCTGCAACAAGCAACTGTCAATATATTAAAACAAAATGAAATATGTTGAAGTTATCTGTTGGGTTAGTAAAAATAATTTATATGACTCTTGGAATGTTTGTGAGAGACAACATAATAAATATACACCCTAACCAAAGAGTTGCTTTATTCATTTGCATTTCCAGTAATGACAAAGTATATATTTACCTTTATTAAAAAGACGACACTTAATCTACATGTATTACCTGAAAGATGTTATTATGAATTATTCCCTGTGATTGATAATTAGTTGTTCAAGGCTTTTCAATAAATAAGATGGTATGCTGTAGCAAATGTAAATAAAAATGTCGTTTTAACAATATCATTTAGTTTAATCGGAGCAAGTTCAGGTACCAATAATTAATTACAGTTATCCTGGGGATTGACAGGTATACACAATAAACATTTTTAGCGAACATGACGTATTAAATATGAATGCAAAACTCCACTTGACCCTGATCTATTAAAAATGTATCAATTATAAATATTACGTTAGAATATTATTTCTGATGTCTCCAGTACCAAAAGTATGATTTTAAGCTTTTTTGGTAACATTGAGGATGTTACATGCTTAGTGTTAACGTTAAAAGTTAATAATTGTATCTAGTGTAAAAATGTAAGCGTCTCAATCACATTGAAAATAAATTGTAACTTTGACACTATTGTATCAAATATAAATATAAGCGTTGCAGTAACAATGATCTAAATAATACGAATTTAAACGTCTCGATGACACTGATGAACGTGAATGTTCCAGTCTTTTGGATCAAAGCTGTGAAAATTTGAGGCAATGCTATATCAGGTATATCTTCTAAACTTCAATTAACATTTATTATACTTCAAGGCTGACAGTAAACATTAAACATGCTATCATTATATTATTATCCTAATATTTTATTGATGAAAGAAATATGAAGGTGGTTACTTTATAATTTTACATAATTTTTTGTGTAATTAATGTTTCAGTGAGCTTTAGGTTTTTGCATCAGAATTGATTGATTAAAGATATTTTGAAATTGCAAGCTGCTGCAGAATTTTGATAGTTAGGGTAATTGCTCAAGAAGACATATAGCTCGGCTGTCCTCTCTGCACTCCATTAAATGAATAACAGCCTCTCAATTTTCTCGCCATACTTTGGGTCCGACACCATCTGATCATTAATTAATCTGTTCCCCACTTTCTACTTTTTCCAATTTATTTACGATCATTAAGAAAGTATTGTAAGTCTTCCTTCCCGTAATATGATTTTATCACAACTTAATTTTACATGTTAACAATTTACACACAGTCCAGAGCCTGCTACTTATTAAATGAAATGGATAAACGTGTTTACATAATTTAAAATTGCAGATTTATTACGAGGGAAAGGGCAAAGTGTTAACTACCAGATGTAGTTTATATACTACGCTATACATTAAAATATGTATAGAATCTTACAGTGCCCAAATATTAATTATGGAAACATCTCGGCAAGCATGTGCTCGGAATGTGGGCATTACATTATATAGTAAATTGCAGAGAGACTCCGAATGCTGATTGCTTCAGCCTGTACGTTTCGAGGTATTACGTAGTTAATTTACCTTTATTTGTTTACAAATATGTCGTTGCAATACATAACTATTTAACAATATCATGACCAGAGACAATTATCACCGGCCCGTTGTACCTTACGCTGGCTGTTCTGCCATATTGGTGTCCCGAGACCTCGAGCAATGCAATCTACGAGGTTTAATTTGTATTCACATGTTCACCACCTACCGTCGTAAACCAGAAACTCCCCCATGTGTTACGTTACTTCAAAGGGATAATGCAAATAATTGCCAGTTTTATAGGTTATTCATAATTCTATGAATGTCTTTAATACTCGTGAAATTCATATACGTACATTTTACAGTTTACTCGGTCACATTGCATAATTGACGGAAACACAAATATCTAGAATTATAAAAAATGCATAATTTTGTGTAGTTTTTCTCAAATTAATTTTATGTGAAACAAGAGTTATGGGAATAGAACATACAATGTTAGTCTCATTCCTTGCACAAATTAACCACGTGTCCAACTGTTCGTGCTCCAGACTTCACGTGTATATCGAGCAGTGTCGTAACTCACACTCCAGGTAGACGTGCTGTCATTACCATCATCATGCACGTGAAGCATTCTCTCATGTAAACATGCGCGCGACACAATGCACGCGATGCTAATATAGACGACAGGCTATTACGTTCATCAATAGGTATTACCACGTTGGTATTCACTCTGTATAAACATCACTAGATGGGTAACCCTGGCTAATTCTTTCTGTCACAATTCATATCATCTCAACACTTTATATTTACACCGTTCGTTCTGCATTCGTTTGCTTTAGTGACCGTTCTACAGCTGTTGACGCCATATGTCGGCTAGCCCTTTCCACAATCTTGGGATTTTCCCAGCCAGCATCACACCTAGCCAACGCATCAGTGATGACCAAATTACATTACTGGAAAATTATCTTATTTGTTTACCCAGTAAAATAACATTGCCATGCCTTGTGGCACATTGTTTACTTTCCATATGCACTAAATATGCCCATAGCAACACTGTGTTCATGTGCTTTGAGCCGGAGGGCAGCTATACTGCTTGTCCGTCGCTCACCGTTCTCACACGGGTCAAGGGGTGGCGACTGAGCACCGTGCAGGGCCAGAGTTGGAGGTTGGTGCGGACCACCCGGATGTGACGCAAGATGTCCAGGGTGTGCGAGACCCATAAAGTTGGGAACATTCGAATGGGTAACCATGCACGTTGAGTTTTGCATGGTGTACGGAATCTGTGGGTTGCCAGCCCAAGGGTTATGTTGAATCTGCAGAGGAAAGAAATAAACACATGTAAACACATAGTTTTAAATGATAACCGTCGTCTTTGGAAGAAGAAATACACAAAGTCAACTTATTTAATATCCATTGAAACTACACGAATACAAAATAAAGCTACGTAATTAATGCAGCATTCGGTTTATAAAATATTTTTTTTTATTAAAATCTGCTAAATGAATGTAATTCGTTTTCTGTTGTATTTGTTATTGATTTTTTAGTTTCCAAAATTTAAAATCCTCATTTGATGGTTAGCTTTAGGTAGTTTTCACAGATTCAAAATGAGAAGACTAATATATTTAACATCATATAATTATAAATTATATAGAAAAGCAAATTAGGTCAGGTTTTTAAATAGTCTAAATTAAATCACATCTTACATACGGGACCAGAATATTGAACACGTCTTTCCTGTTCTTAATTTAATGTTGATCAAATAAAGGATGGATATTTTACTTGTCAAAATTATTTGTGTGTTCTTACCTGAGAGTAAGCGTCGTGTCTGGCCCCTAAGGGCATGTCATAAGGGTTGGCCCCAGTCGTCATCGCTCTCATTGTCTGGATCTGACCGTACCTTTCCCTCTTCCTCCATTTAGCACGGCGGTTCTGGAACCACACCTGAGAAAAATAAAAGACCATAACATAAACGAAATGGCAAAATCAACAACAGCAACAACAACGAATAACAACATATCACAACTAAAGGTAGTAAATATGACACCTATCGCCGTTGTACCATAAATCATATTTGTATAAAAACAATTAACCCGTTGACAATGTAAACAATATGATCAAATTGGGAACAAACAAAGTAACTTCATGGTGCTGTTTTGCACGTCAATTTAATATTTCTTTTTTATAATAAATATTGAAAAGTATATCTCGATTACAGTTTTAATTTTTGATGTTAGATATATCAATTATAATAACTGCTACTCAAACATGCCCCCATACTAACTATAACTAGCTGTTGTTGGTATAGAAATTTTATTATGACTATTAATTACGTCATTCGTTACACCATCAGGTTGAGGATTTAATGACGTCATCGGCAATAAGATGAGGATGAGAAAGAGTTTGCGTTTGTATGTGGTCTCGTCCTATTGAATTCTACTTGGCCTCTATATTCATTTCGTTTATAAGTATAATTAACTATATTCATTTATAATTTTGAATGTGATAAATATGTTTATCTTGAGGTCAAACTGATTTTCATTTTACTTGGTAAGATAATAAGGATTATTTCAAATACAACGATTGCAAAAGGATGTATTAGTAGCTATAGTATCTGCAAATTCCACTTTTTCGTGTGAATTTTCCATTATACCCATTCCAGAATCTATTTTTTTCGCGAATTTATGTTTAACATGGATATCGTTAATCAGGCTCTTATGTTGTGAATTATACGTAAATAATGACGTTACTTTATTTGCCGTGGTGTATATCACGCCTTTATGATTTGACCTTCATTATACCAAATAAAAGGCAATATATTTAAGGTAAATGAACACATCAGTCGTCTTACATTCGTCACAATATTAAGATAGCATCATCTCAAATAATGATTTAAAATATTCGCGATTAAAAAAATAGGTGAATTTAATGAAATAAGGGACAAGCGAAAAAACAATATTTGTAACAAATAAAACACGTCTTTATCTAGACGTAATAGATAATATGATATTATTTTAGTAAGATATAGGTTTTATGGAGTAAATAGTGCACTATATCATCGCTTGATAACTAATCAGAACCGGCGTTACTTGTGAAAATAACGATGTTTTATAACATTGCTTCGCTTGTGATGGCTTTTCAATAAACAAAAACATTAAAATCTCAAAAACAACACACCAGGCAGTGATTTATAAGAAACTCAATAAAATATTACTTTCTGATATACTGCATGTAGAAACAGTTTCTATCAGGTTGCCAAGTAACAAAATGAAAATAAAGAAAAGTACCAACTTTAAAATGATTTTTGGTCGAGATATTAATAACGATACATCAACATGGATATAAATTTTAATGCTTATTTAGTTGATGTTGGAAAGAAAATTTATTCAGCATTCATGTAAATATATATGAAGGTTCGGTAGTCAATGATGTCAATTGAATTTGTTTTTTATATCTTAGATAATGACAAATGAATGTGAACCTCTAACTTTTACCGAATAGCAGATCGTTTTACAAATAGTGGATCATTTAATTCGGAAACGTCAAAGTAATTAGCCAAACGATTTAGCCTGTTCATAATTAAAAATTCTGTCCAGTTAGTGACAAAAATTGCAATATTTTGTACATTTAGTCAGTAAACGACTATTCGCTATAAAACGCTCCTGTTAGAAATAAATGGGTGTCAAATTAAAATGTTCCTGTCTGCCTTCACCAACACTGACATGTACATGTATGACTCGTGTATGACATATGATGTCCATTAGTGCTGATTAAACAGAAGAGTTTTATTTTCAACTGCCACATTTTCTACACATGCTATATACACCGCTGTGTAGTCTACGGACCAGCCACTCCCTATCCTTGCCAAAGTCCGAGTTATAATGAGTTCAGATAGATACAAAGGCGGCAGACTCACAGACCACATATTTGATAAGTTTAGTTTGACCAACATAAACACCATGGCCGCCCCAACTGACTGGACTAGCGTTAACATGGCAATTCAGATGTACAAACAATCGGGCACTCTGTGGAAGAAATTAGACTTTATTGAATTTGGCAGCTAACAGGGGTTTAATGACAGAGGGTAATTGAAGCCAAATGGAAGGGTGATGGGCTATGGGCCTAGGTGTCGATGACGAGCACCTGTCAGACGCCACGGGGGCTTGGTATATGTTGCACACCTGATCCACTTTCGTTTTCCGTATATAAACCACAAAGTGGTCGTCAAACCATATGTTATCTCTCTAACTCTTTGATCCATTCACACATAAAAATGATTCCGTTTGTTTCACATATTTTGGTTACTTAGATCTGCATGTGAAGGCAACAAGTCCAGTATCAAATTCAGTACAATCATCATTAATATTTTGGCGAGTTCATAAAACAACAAAAATCTATTAATTGGTGTTCCTATGATCGTTCAAATGGCATAGCTCTAGCCACAAAATAACAATGACTGGCAAATATCACATTTTTGTTATTACAATATTTCCTTTCCTCAGCATATGTATGTCTCTTCTGACAAAAAATCTTAATATGCAGTGTTGCAGAATAAACCTATCTCTTACTTAACAAGTGTTACTTTTGGTACAAATATTCACAGAATTATTACCAATTCTCAACATTCCCGAAACTAGGATAGCTGTTAGGGCTAGCGGCGTTGCCTGACAGCATAACTTTTCAAAAATGCAATTTTTCATACAGTCGTTTTAAAATTGATGTACATGTACGGCAAAAGAATGATCACATAATTGAAATAAAGAAAACATTCCCTGAATTTTTTACGAGAAAAACAAGGATCAAAGTCCACCTTCACAAAAGAACTAGCCCGCAGCAAGCAAGTTGCAGCAAACTGGTTGATTCTGGTACGAACATTGTCATGTCATTACATAGGCTTTGGATTACATATTGTGACTCTGGAGATCGGATTCCTAAATGTGCTGTTAGAAAGCCTACTTAACATGACAATTGGTATACATGTAGTTCCTTCCAATGTGTTGCTTATCTAGATGTAAATGAATTTTTATCATTAAAGCGTGTTTGGCAAATATAATATATTTTTTTCTCTCTCAAAAACTGATCCGCAGAATACATTTAAAAATTTGCTGTGGAATCGATAAACATGAATAAGCATATATCAAAAAGAATTTGGTTTTTTAAATAAAAGTTTTACGTAGATGTTACTGGGGAAAATATTAAACAACCGGTTACACTGACATTCTAGTACCTAATTAATAGGTTACGTATGTTTAATGTATATAAATTCAATTTAATTTCAATAGCTATATTAGCTTGATAACAATTAAGGTTAATTAATACATATATATACAGAAATAACGGTGCATGCGGGTATGGTTGTGCATACCGAGGGAGATTATTTTGAAACCGAAGACTGTTTGAACTATTATAAAACTGCCATTAATTCAAACTTTACATTTAATACAAAAATGTCATTAAACTGGAGCAGCTGGATACAATTATTCGTGACGTCATAATGCGTATCGTACAATTAAAATAATATAATAGTTCAAGAAAAAATTAGGAGAAATTAACTGCAGAATAAACAGAAAATTATTTTCATAGACGTTAGTGACCACTTGTTTCTGAATATTTTGATTGAATATCACGAACAACTTAATGTGACTATGTAAATACAAGTAGATCATAAATATTCAGTATTATACTAGATATGCTAAGTTGATAATAATACGTTGTACCATTAAGTTATAAAAGCGACTAAATGTGCTATTACCTAATTTGCTAACCTCATAGAATCATAATTGCTATGTAAATATGGCGTAGAAAACCCAAGAAATGTATTTGCAATATCTGTAGTTCATATAGAGTTATTGAAAAAATGTCCTCTCGATGATTCGCGTTTACCATCATGCATATGCGATTCTAAAGCGTTAGGCACAGACTGATGCATTCCTCGTATAATTCACGAGTGGGTACCGATACAAGGCGCAAGTGAAACTCAAGTGGTGATAATGATCGCCTATTCTTACAACTTTCGCATGTGGTAGGGGATATTAAAAAGTAAAGGGACCCTAACGACTTGATGCTGTGGAGAGGATATCGAGGGAATGCCAGCTCTCCACTTAGACTCCCGCATATTGTATGAACCAACGAGGTGTTAATTCCATTAAATTTTACTAGCAGTAACATCTAAAATCCTTTTTTTACCGTGAGAACGCGATATTTTCATAGTTACAAAACTTGAGATTTTAATCGGGTATATATTTGTATATCTTAATTGTTTTGGATACTCACAAACATTGTTTAAAGGATAAAACGACATTATTATTTAATCGAAAAGTTTTAAGCATCCTTTTGAAAATTGCGAGTAAGTAAGCTGATAGGAGAGGGTAATCTAAATCCCACTAGGCAAACTAACAATTGTCTGATAGACACCGTTGTAAGGTAATTACTAGCCCCATAGAAAAGGTTATATGGATTCAACCCCCTCCAGCACGAGGTATTAACCGTCAGATTAACACCTCCAGGGAGAATGTATCAAACAAATAGCATAATAATGTGGGGAATTATCTGATCTGAGGCTGCCGTTCCACGATTCGTATGTAAGATAGATGTCAAAAGCATTTTGTTTATGTAAACATTTGTACCGCGTCAATTCATGTGTTTTGTATCGGTGTTAAGCTTTGTTTTATACAATGTTTATATGATAGTGTGTCGACTTGCAGCGAAGTTACAAATATATCAAAATAAGATAACTGTGTCGTTATTTTAACATACATATGGGGAAGTGAGAAAAAGGAGGCAGCAGATCAAATTTAGTTTCTTCGATGAAGCTGAAAACACAAAAGAAACCCCACTGATTCTGTTGGGGAACCCATGTTAATCGTCTTTTACAAAACCAGGGAGTGGCATACAGCAGGTGAATCCTTACTCCCAACCTTTAGGGATCGGATGTTTCTGAGCCA